AAAAACATTTCTTTTGGTGTGTAATAGTTTACTAACTTTACTAAATAAGTTTCATTCCTCTCTTCCCCATCTGGCCAGAAACCCAAGGATTCAATCAACATCCTAGAAACTAAATCTCATACCCAAGTAGTCACATAAACATGTTATCACATAAGTATGTAACACTACATCTAAGTCTCTAACAAGCGAGACAGACCCATTGTGATACTAATAGCTTCCCGGGTACCCAAAGTATTCGAACCCAGTACGCTCTGATACCAAGTTGTAACGCCCTCAAAATAAACTCATAATATCATGCAATCACGATAAGGAAAAGAGATTTCATATTACAATCATCAGAGTATTCTTACAAAAGGTATTACATGTTGACAACAAAAGTAAATGCCCTATAGGCTTACAACATTCCAAGTCAACACTTGGCTACGAGAAGGAGAGTACTAGCTCTACACAAAATAAGTTCTTGGCTTGATATACATGTAATACAACCAAAAACAACAAAAACGAGTCTAACAGCCTCAAGCCTCTCAAGCTACGTCCTTGGAGGTGGCATAACACCTGTACTTGAAAATGATGTCCCATATAGGGTGAGCCAACGCCCAGTAGAGATATGCTAAACATAATATGAGCAAAAATTAAAACATTGGCATTTGATAAATGTTTAACCCACATAAATCAATTCATAATCCATTTCAATTACATGACAAATATATCCATGTTTCATTCCATTTTCCATTACTTATCCAGTTCTCAATTTATGAATAAGGCTCAGAACCTGGCCAATAATTTAATGAGACTATAACTCATATCAACAATACTTCCATATTTCACAATAGATACGCATGTTTGCTGTATCAATAACACAGAAAACACTTCCATGCTTCACAATAGATACACACGTTCGCTGTATCAATGGAGTCCATCCCTTATCTCCTCCCAAATAATATCCAGTTTAGGAGTCCATCCCCTGTCTTCCCCTAAATCGTGGACTGCATCCCCTATGTTCTCCCACAAAACACAATGTATATAAACACACATCATATACATGACCAATCAATACATAAATTTGATGTATTATTCCAACCGTCATATTCGATGACATAATCAACTGATTAGTTTTAGTTCGCCTAATCATCATGCATTGTCTACAACAATCAAGACTATCCTCTACCGATAGCCCAAAGCAATTTATTGCTAAATAGATAATAAATGCATCAACAGATAATTTGACAACAATATCATAAGTGAGCGATTAATAAATCCAACTCCACCATTCCCTCTTATAATAAGACAATTTCATTATTTCCAACTCAATTCCATATTTCCATAACATTTCCAAATTAATTATGTAAATTAATTCATACAACAATTTAGGTCTTTCTCCCCTTTTTCTCTACAATGACCCAAAGGTCCCAGATATCATCAACAACATCAATACCATCATTTTAAGACCCAAGATACACATTTATGAGTCAAAATAACAAAACCCTTCTTTATTCATTTTAAAACCCTAACACCCAAAATTACCCAACTTCAACATTACATCAAAATAACCAATAGTTTATGTTAAAGACCATAAAAATAAGTAGTTATCCCTACCTCAAATTCGGAGCTCAAAGGAAGAAGATAAAGAAATTCGAAATGCTCCAAACCCCAATATTTTTGGATCAAAATGTAGCCCTCAACAAGCTCCACACTTTTTACAAAGGCCCAAGGGGTAGAGGATCACTCCTACTAGATCAAACCATAGAGAGAAGTTGGAGTTTTAGAGTGAGGTGCTCTCCAATGGAGGTTTTGAATAGTAAGAGAGAGAAAGAAAGTGTGAAAAGTGAATTAAAATCACCCAGCTGCCAACTGATATACGACTAGTCCGCTCGAGCGGAGAACAGGACGCTCGAGGGTCAAGCACAAAAATAGGACCCGCTCGAGCGTAAGAATACCCGCACGAGCGCCAAGACACAACTGCAAAACACACCCGCTCGAGCACAAAGGGAAACCTGCTCGAGCGTAGATTACACTCTCCCAGTATTTTTATAGACATTGAACACCCGCTCGAGCGCAAAAGAGCTCGTTCGAGCGTGACCCACTCCAGCGTAAGGAACTCCGCTCGAGCGTGAAAACAACCCTGCAGTACTTTTGCAGAGGCACAAAACACTGGAAGTGTGTAAACTCCGCTCGAGCGCAAAAGGATCTGCTCGAGCGGACCACCAAAAATCTGGGCAACAAGAATTGAGACAAAAGCTCAACCAACCTGTTCGAAACATGCCCAAGACAATTCTAAACTCAAATACAAAGAGTTAAAGGACGGAAAGGAAATACAGGCAACAACAGCTATCAATGGAACCAAGTCCGAAACACAGTAAACATGAGAGGAAAACCGGGATCGCTATACCAGAACCAAGTACGAAGACTACACGTCACTACTAAATTAAAAATACTAAAGATATAAATAAATTAAGTATCCCGCACTAAAGCGCACTAACACAGCTCAACCCCACTCGCCGTTACTCTTAAATAATACCTAAGTTCATGTTCTTCAAGCTCTAAAATTACCCAAGATATGGGTTCAAATCGAAACTTAATTAAAAGTAACTTTAAGATAAAATAGAGTTTTAAACAAACTTTCCCATTCTATTTGCTAACTTTGAAAATTACAAAAGCCACTCCACGCTATTCGAAAAATTCAAAAACCATCCAGATAACAACTAATATATCCTAAGTTTGAAACCCAATTGGTCTCACTTGATTTGCTTATTAAAATAATTAATTATATCTAAACAGGTTATTTTCTGCAGCACTTTAAAAAAATTAATGGTTCTCTTAGTATACACGAGCAATCAACGCAAGGGCAAAAATGTAAGAAACTAGACTCGTAACCGGTTCTAATGACACTAATTTGGTAATTTTTGGATTTATACCCAATGAGAACGACACTCCCGAATTTATGGTTTGAAAGCAGTTTTCTGGACAGATTTGAACGCATCAGTTTATATGGATTTTGACTCCCAAAAATTATGAAAAACTTCAGATATGCAACTCATTATGTAATTAATCTACTATAAAAATTTCAGTTCAAAATTCATTCGTTTGATATGGTTTCTTGATTTTTAAAGTTTGTGATTCTGTGCAGAATTTTTGGACTAAGAATTATACCCATTCTTTATGCATGAATTTAACTCCTCAGATTTCTTAATGGTATATATATATATACAAAATACATAAACCTATAACCTCTCCATCAATGAACTAAATAATAATAGAGTAAGGATAAAGAACAAAAACAAAGAGAAGAAGAAAGATAGAGACCTACCGCACACCCAAAAGTTCTTCCTTGTTTGGAACCCCTTTTTTTTTTCTTTTTCTTTTCTCTCAACCTCTCTCTCCCCGTGGTGGTTGGTACTTGTAGGTGGGGAAGACAAAAGACGGTTCGGTGATGGTGGCGGACAATGGCGGCTGCTACAGAAGAGAAAGAAACGTAATCTCATTGGAAAAAAGATAGTATAAAGTTTAAATATTGGTAATAGTAGAATCCTAAATCTATCCCGCATCGTTCATAATCTAATTAGAAGAAGATAGTGTAAAGTATAAATATTGGTCGTAGTATAATTGTAAACTTATCCCACATCGTTTAAAAACAACGCATAATGTTTGAATATAAGGGGTGATTGAGACATCTAATAATTGCCGAGCTAAGTAGCGTTAGCTTATGACACAAGCGAGGGCACCAAAGTGGTTGGATGCTGGTGAAGTTGATAGATGGCTTCAACGCTTGAACTCAAGTTGTGGCCAGCATAGTTGAACTCAGGCAAGACTAGTGAAACTGTAGGTTCCTGGGCGATTGCTTTAGTTTAAGTCATTGGACAACCACATTTTTTTTTTTTACGTGTAGTAAAATTTGAAAATCTAAATATACTTTCGCACCCTGTGGATTAGTCCTTGGTGATGATTACAAAACATAAAAATGATGATTTTTTCAATTTTAGTCAATAGCATTTGGTGGGGTTGGCAACTAACCAAACAAAAACTCTTTTTTTTTTTATCTTTTGAATATTATATTTTTTAAATTTGCATCAAAAACTTTGCATTTTTTGTGTATCTGGTGTAGAATGATCTAAAAACATTACCAACTTATTTTCACTTTTAATTTTAATGAATTGTTTTTCATTTTTTTTATAACTTATTTGGTCCATATAGTCGCGTAGATTCTAAAACGCAAACTTTTTTCAAAAAAAGTTCATAAAAAATGAACAAAAAAAAAGAAAAGAAAACCATAAGTTCACGGCCCAACCCAGATCTGTTCCTTAGTGCCCAATGTCACCAAACACAGTGGAACAATTTCCCTGGACTAAAATACACAGATGGTCCCAATAATCAATACACATCAGTATCGCAAAGCGTGGTACTTCACCATTATAGACATGAAACCAAAACTAATTGTTTACAGTATGCTAAGTTACATGTTTTACAAATAATTTGATTCCATTGATAATATAATAGTTTTATCAAAACGGTTTAGTCTTGAAACAACAATTTAACTTTCCAACAGTTGAAGGTAGGGGAACATTTATAAAAATATATAGCATGAAACTACTCACCTGAAAACAAAATAATATAATCCTTGAATAGAGTATGAAAGTCCAACTAGTGCCCTGAACCAAGTATGAAGACTACACGTCACTACTAATTTAAAAATACTAAAGATATAAATAAATTAAATATCCCGCACTAAAGCGCACTAACACAGCTCAACCCCACTCACCGTTACTCTTAAATAATACCTAAGTTCATGTTATTCAAGGTCTAAAATTACCCAAGACATGGGATCAAATCGAAACTAAATTAAAAGTAACTTTATGATAAAACAGAGTTTTAAACAAACTTTCCCAATCTATTCGCTAACGTTGGAAATTACAAAACCCACTCCACGCTGTTCAAAAAATTCAAAAACCATCCAGATAACAACTAATATATCTTAAGTTTGAACTATAAGTTTGGAGTTCTGATGATATTGAAGGTAAAGCATTCCTAGCACCAGCATCAACAAGCTACACCCCATTCATCACTGTATCGACATGGACTGTGTTGCCATCTTCGAGAAATTTACCATTTACTGGAGTTCTCAGCCTCTGAACAAACAAAAACAAAAAATTTCAGTGCCATATTTAAAAACAGAAGAACAAGAAGGTAAAAGAAAGTTATTGATTCATTATATACCCGATCTATAGGATCCCCAGAGTTTCCATTTAAGAGCTTGTGATTCTCTTCTTTTGTCCGTCCATCCTTGCTCAGCGGTAGCAAAAATGACGCACTGCGGTCAGGTAATTCTGCATAAGACAACTCAAAGTCAATACTAGTGTATAAAATGCAGGGCTAAAAGGAAAAGATGGAATTAAAGCCAAGGAATGGGATGTGAAATGGGAGTTTGTACAAATGCTAACCTGGCAACTTGTGGTCAATGAAGTACACCACCAAATTAACAGTGTACCTATAACAGAATCATATTGTTGAACTACATCAGAGAAATATCAAAGGGGAAAATGAAAAGTAATTGGGACTTGTAAGTCGTTGACATAAGTATGTAATTTATGTGATTGTATCAGTGTAGACCGACTATCAATTGCTAATGTTTTAGTCATTGTCCATGGTTGGTTTAGTGTATTTCTACTGGGCTGTGGCTCACCCTATATGGGAATATCATTTTCAGGTACAGGAAGCATGCCACCTCCAAGGACATAGCTTGGGAGTGCTAGAGGCGGACATGTTTTGTTGTTTTACTTTTGATGTATTACATGTAACTTCAAGCCAAGGGCTTAATGTGTAAACGAGTTAGTACTCTTTTGTTGTAACCAAGTGTTAACTTGGAAAGCTGTAAGCCTGTAAGGCATTTTGTTTTGATGTTAACATGTAATACTTATGTAATGGAACTCTAAGGAATAAAGGAATGTGGTTAGTTTATATGTAAATGCATGTCTTATCAGATGGGTTTAATGTTGTTATTTTGAGGGCGTTACACATATAGTCGCGTAGATTCTAAAACGCAAACTTTTTTCAAAAAAAGTTCATAAAAAAAGAACAAAAAAACAAGAAAACCACAAGTTCACGGCTCAACCCGGATCTGTTCCCTAGTGGCCAGAGTCACCACACACAGTGGAATAATTTCCCTGGACTAAAATACACAGATGGTCCCAATAATCAGTACACATCAATATCACAAAACGTGGTAGTTTACCATTATAAACATGACACCAAAACAAATAGTTTACAAAATGCTAAGTTCACACATGTTTTACGAATAATTTGATTCCATTGATAACATAATAGTTTTATCAAAATGGTTTAGTCCTGAAACAACAATTTAATTTTCCAATAGTTAAAGAGAGGGGAACATTTATAAAAATATGTAGCATGAAACTACTCACCTGAGAAACGAAATAATATAATCCTCGAATAGAGTATGAAAGTCCAACTAGTGTCCTGAACGAAGTATGAAGACTACACGTCACCACTAATTTAAAAATGCTAAAGATATAAATAAATTAAGTATCCCACACTAAAGCGCACTAACATAGCTCAACCCCACTCACCGTTACTCTTAAATAATACCTAAGTTCATGTTCTTCAAGGTCTAAAATTACCCAAGACATGGGTTCAAATCGAAACTTAATTAAAAGTAACTTTAAGATAAAACAGAGTTTTAAACAAATTTTTCCACTCTATTCGTTAACTTTGAAAATTACAAAACCCACTCCACGCTATTCGAAAAATTTGAAAACCATCTGTCACGACCCCATTCCGCCCCTAGTAGAATGGTGTCGTGATGGCCAGTAATCCGAGATTACCAAAGGCCAACTTACAAAGATTCACACACAATCAGAATACATATGAGGCCTACATGTGCAGAAGCAATGTATATAAATCTAAGTAGTCCATAAGAGCAGTGCATAGATCAAATGAAATGACATACATCTTTACATAGCTTTACAACTTGGGTACAAATAAAATAAAGTACAAATATTACGTCTTGATCAAGAGGCTTCTCCAGCCGACATAACAAGATACATGAACTACAACTCAAGAAGCTTAGTCTACAAGATTTGCCAGCATAATAAGCATTAAACATCATCTAGCAAAACACATCTCGGCGTCACCGCCTTCTTGGTTGTTACCTACATATATATAAGGAGAGGATGAGCTTGAATACTCAGTGAATGGTATAAGTGATAAAGGGGTTAAATGAATGATTCTCGAGGTCCTTGTCAAAACAATACATAACATAACTTGTACAAAACATACTTGGCAGAGATCGGCCGTCCGTTTATAGGCCGTCGATGGCCGAGATCTCACAAACTTGGTGCTACTTGGGCTTAAAGTCCCCTAGCATGAGAGGACTTGTGCTGCAAATGCTTATAGTCCCCCAGCACGTACGGACTAGTGCCACAAATGCTTAAAGTCCCCTGGTACGTACGGACTTCCATGGATTGTGTTACAAATGCTTATAGTCCCCTAGCACGTACGGACTAGTGCCACAAATGCTTAAAGACCCCTGGCACGTACGAACTTCCATGGATTGTGCTACGAATGCTTATAGTCTCCTAGCATGTACGGACTAGTGCCACAAATGCTTAAAGTCCCCTGGCACGTACGGACTTCCATAGATTGTGCTACGAATGCTTATAGTCCCCTAGCACATACGGACTAGTGCCACAAATGCTTAAAGTCCCCTAGCACGTACGGACTAGTGCCACAAATGCTTAAAGTCCCCTGGTATGTTCGGACTTCCATGGATTGTGCTACGAATGCGTATAGTCCCCTAGCACATACAGACTAGTGCCACAAATGCTTAAAGTCCCTTGGCACGTACGGACTTCCATGGATTGTGCTACGAATGCTTATAGTCCCCTAGCACGTACGAACTAGTGCCACAAATGCTTAAAGTCCGCTTGCACGTACGGATTTCCCGAGAATGTCATCCAAAACGAAGCTAATACTTGATACACAAAATAGGGATAATCATTCATGCTTAACAAATACTTTTCGAACAAAGCAAAGCAAGGCTTATCAAAACACGATAACATAGCTTTATTAAAAATACCACTCACATAGTTCTTGGGACGTCGGAATCAAAGCAATGGTCCAAGTCCTACAAACACATGGCAAATTCCACTGAATGTACTTCTCAAAACAAGTCTCACATGCATGCAAATGACCTCGGCGGTCCTTCAAACTAAGTCAAGACAAGGCAAAACATGTTGAAGTGAAACATTGTTTTACATGTCAAGAAGACATGCTGGGTACCAACCAGGTCTTTGCCGAGGTCCCACACCTCCTTGCCAAGGTGTGGTCCCGGTGGCCACTTTCATGGAAATGAAGTCAGGAAAATCTGGTCTCCTTTTTGACGAACATGAAGAACATAAACAACATGGATGCTAAAATCATAACTTGTTTATACAAAATCTGAGATTTCATGCTATAAGTTCGAAAACATGGACCTGGGTACCCATACTTGAAGATCTTGGGAAAACAAACACAAAAACATGGATCTTAATGCAAGCTTTCGGATCAAATCATGACTTTTCTTCAAGAACACATGAATATCATATTCTCTTTCTAAAACCGAACTTCAAAGCAATGCATGGCTTTCAAAGCATGCTCGATCATGCAATGCAGCTAGATGAACAATAAGAATAGCAAGATCAGATCAAGAATCTAACCTCAAGACGCGGACCTAACGGCTGAAGGTGTGAAGATCAAGCTTGGAATCTATTTCTCTCTCTAAGAACTTCTTCTCCCCTCTTCCTAGAGCTTCTCTCTCTTCAAAAGCAAGGATATGGAAATGATATGGTTTCTCTCTCTGCCGGCTGATTTAACATTCATCTCGGACACGTGGCACCACCGGGTTGGTTCTCATAAAAAAGGTGATTGAAAGACAAGACATGTGTAAGAGATAGTGTATTTAACAGGCTAGGTAGCAAGGGCACTCCGGCTTGCAAAGACATCGGCTAATGACAAGGCATCGGCAAGTAAGGGAACAATGATCTTGGCTAGGAAGGACAACACTTGGCCAAGTTGTGCCACACCTTGGCCTAGATGTGCCACACCTCGGTCTAGGTCATACCAATCCAGGTACAAGATCACTTGGGTGCAAGAATAACATCTCGGCCTAGATAATACACATCTCGGCCTTGGTGATACACACCTCGGCTTAGATAATGACATCTCGGCCAATATGCTAGGACGAAGGTGGAGGTCAACCAAAGTGGTTCCAAGATAGTTCTAGGCTTAAGGTGACCTTGGCTAAGCATAACCTAGGCTTAACATGACTTAGACTTGGCAGGACTTAGGCTTGAGACAGTAAGGAAGGAACAAAACATGCAACACACTTAAGCAAAACAAGGTAAGATTGGCAAGGCAACTTAACATGGAAAAACATATAAATGCATGCACGCATGACTAAGGCATGAATGTGGGTTGTTACACCATCTAGATAACAACTAATATATCCTAAGTTTGAAACCCAATTGGTCTCACTTGATTTGCTTATCAAAATAATTAATTATATCTAAACAGGTTGTTTTCTGCAGCACTTTAAAAAAATTAATGGTTCTCTTAGTATACACGAGCAATCAATGCAAGGGAAAAAAAAGTAAGAAACTGGACTTGTAACTGGTTCTAATGACACTAATTTGATAATTTTTGGATTTATAGCCAAAGAGAACGACACTCCCGAATTTACGGTTTGAAAGCAGTTTTCTGAACAGATTTGAACGCATCGGTTTACATGGATTTTGACTCCCAAAAATTATGAAAAACTTCAGATATGCAACTCATTACGTAATTAATCTACTTTAAAAATTTCAGTTCAAAATTCAATCGTTTGATATGGTTTCTTAATTTTTAAAGTTTGTGATTTTGTGCAGAATTTTTGGACTAAGAATTATACCCATTCTTTATACACGAATTTAACTCCTCAGATTTCTTAACGGTATATATATATATATAAAAAATACATAAACCTACAACCTCTCCATCAATGAACTAAATAATAATAGAGTAAGTATAAAGACCAAAAACAAAGAGAAGAAGAAAGATAGAGACCTACCGCACACCAAAAAGTTCTTCCTTGTTTGCAACCCTTTTTTTTTTCTTTTTCTTTTCTCTCAACCTCTCTCTCCCCGTGGTGGTTGGTACTTGTCGGTGGGGAAGACAAAAGACGGTTCGGTGATGGTGGCGGACGATGGTGGCTACTACGGAAGAGAAAGAAACATAATCTCATTAGAAAAAAGATAGTGTAAAGTTTAAATATTGGTAGTAGTAGAATCGTAAATCTATCCCACATCGTTCATAATCTAATTAGAAAAGTTTAAATATTGGTAGTAGTATAATCGTAAACTTATCCCACATCGTTTAAAAACAACGCATAATGTTTGAATATAAGGGGTGATTGAGACATCTAATAATTGTCGAGCTAAGTAGCGTCAGCATATGACTCAAGCGAGGGCACCAAAGTGGTTGGATGATGGCAAAGTTG